GTTGGTGAGCGCCAGCTTGGTAAGCACGATCAGTAATTTGCTCACGGTATTGACCTCCTTCGCGTCGCCGCCCAGCAGGTCCGAGAGGAGGCGGGTCTTCTTCTGGCCCTTGGTGTCGCCTCCTTCTCCTGCCCTCTTCAGGCCCCACGTGGGGTCGCCGAGCTTGAGAGCCATGACCCCGCTGAGCAGCTGTGTCCGCCAGACAGTCCAGAGGAGGCAGGTGTGTTCTGATGTGCTCCTGTAGCTCTTCAAACGTTTGAGCTCTATGATCACAGAGGTGGCAGTCCACTCTGTCTGGATGCATTCGTCCTCCGAAAAACCTCGACTGGTCATTACATCGGCCTCCACGAGAAACTGTAGCGAGTAAATGTCTCTGGGCCGTCTTCACGCAGCTAAATGTGACCAGGCAATAGGGGCACACGTTCGTGCTGACCGCGCGTGTCCATATATCCCTCATACCGTGCTTGGCCATCCTGTGCTGTGTGACCCCCTTGTATGTAGTAAACGTGCATGTGCATACTGTCCCCGTCTCATTCCGATACCCACATGTCCATTGAGTAGCGTCTGCATAAATACTGGGGCGTGCGGGTTCAGGAGGTGGTCGTTGAGCAGGGGACCATCCAGGGGGCGGAATAGCGCTCATATAAATCCCTCTTCGTAACACCGTGAAATCCTGCATCAAAAACTCATGTTTCATTTCGTCATCTGTGAATAAGTCCAGCCATCCCGTGCGAATTTGACTGCCCAAGAACCCTCCCTCATCATCGAGTCCTCCTACACCCTGCAGAATGTCGTCTCGCATCTGTTTCGCCCATGGGTTCGCACCGTCCCGCAACTCGCTCTCCTCGATCGTCGGATCTATCTCGAAAGGGAAGTGACCGAAGAGGGAGGTGAGTATCTGGCCGTTTCTCCACTGGTGTCCGAGGATAGTCTGGATCCTCTTCAGGCGGCGCACCCGCATCTCAAGCTTAGCAGGGGCCATGTTCCAGTACTCCAGGACCTGAGATGTACTCTTCGAACGATGTTGTACCGTACCGTCATGGGTCTCAATCTGCTCATGTGCTTTGCCTTGCATAGCGCGACGAGCATAGGGTGCCAGAATGATGAGGACGACGGGCAAGAGGAGCAGGAGCACGAGGAGGAGGAGGAGGAGGAGGAGGAAGAGGAGGGGGGAAAGGAGGAGGAGGAGGAGAAGAGGAGGGAGGAGGCGGAGGAGAGA